CCTCCCTCCTCCAGAAAACCCCCACCGCTGAGATTCCCTCTTGGGTTTCAACCGGGGCACCGGAGGTGGGCCCAAGGCCCCGTCTCCCCGACCCGCCCGCATCGCCGCCCCTCCTCCCGGTCTCGGTGCTGCTTCAGCTCCCTGGTTGCGGGGCTTCTGTGCAGCCGGATCTCGGGAGGCTCCGAGTGACGGTGGTTCTGTGTTTAGTTGTGATTTTGATGTGGTTGCGGAGGCGGCGGGTGTAACTGTGACCTGTGCCGCCAGCTGGATATGTCTCCCGTTAGTCTTGCCGGGAACTTAAGGAACTCTTTGAACGTGGAAAGACACATCTTCATCGATTCACCTTCCTTCATTGGTTCCTTTTTCTTCTATTATTTACATGTTAAATCTCCTGGATATGTCTTCCAACTCTTAAGTGGTTTAGGGGAGAGATTTTATTAGGCATTTACAAGTATCTTTTAACAGGGTGTCTGCTCCTGTCTACAAGCAGCACTCTAAGTAGTGTTTCTTCTTTCCAAAGAGATGAATGGGGAGACTGAGCCCCGAATCCCAGGGCGTGAGAGGAGAGGTGGGAGAGGAGATGGAGTTTCCAATACTGGAAGCAATGGGCCCGACACCTGGAGGGCACCATTTTATGGCTCCTCCTGCCTTTACCATAGTGCCCTTCATATTTTTATTTATTTATACACTTATATAAATATGACGCCTGTAGCACTTTATAGGTAAATTCCCTAAGCATTTTGTTTATCTTCAGAAGAACCCTCAGAGGTCATCAGAGTAGATATTTTTAACACCATTTTGCACATGAAGAAGTTTATTTTTAATTCAACACACATATGTCAGATACCTAACATGCCAGGCACTACACTGAAGTCCAAGGAGCTAAGTGGCTCCTGTGATTTTACAGTGAGTAAGTGCCAGAGTTGGGAATTGAAATAAGTGTGTCAATTTTTGTTCACTATTTTTATCCACTACATTACACTAGAAGCTATTTGTTTATTTATTCATAAATAAGCAAATAGAAATAGCTTGAAGTGAAAGATATACATATACACATTCACATACCTATATATGTGTGTATCTATATCTTGACATTAAGATTCACCATGCAGAATCGGTTTATACACAGGTTTCATGCTAGGGAACATGTGTAGAGCCCTTATCTGAAGGTAAACAGCTATTATTTGACCCTCGAATTGCCCGCCCTAAAGTGGAAACATTTAGGGCTATTACAGCATCAGCTTGAAACATGAAACTTCTGATATTCAACCACTTCTGATTTACAAAATTCTCAACTTCATATGGTTTGACCTAATATCATAACTACCGTCCTTGATTAAATCGGAACAGAATAAGAAAATCTCAGTCTAAACAGAAAATACTACGGCAACCTCTCCTAGTCTTCAAATATTGAACACAAGTTCCCACAAACTTGAAAACCAATCCAAGCCCTTCAGTGGAGCTTAATGCTTTATCAGTTTTGTCAATCACAGATCTGAGTAAACACATTTTGGGGGCCTATCATCTGTTTCAGAGTCAAAATACCAGTTTTCTCGATAAGATTTAGTGCTTTTCTGATTTGCTTTACAAAAAAAGATCTCACAGAATGTTGAAATGAGTCACACATGGTTAATAACCTACTGTCACATAATTTTTTAGTCTAGAATAATCAATTCAAGCCATTATGCACTGACAAGTGGAGCACCATGAGATGCTGGTGTTAAGCTGAATTACCAAAATTTCACTCGTATTTTCCACAATTTAGTTTTTAAAGCTTCCTGGAAATTTCAAACCACTCATTTCAATGCCCAGATTTCAACAGGCATTTCAGATCCTCAGGGAGCGATCAGGCTTCTTAGTAAAAGCACAATGCCCCTCCGAAGTTTAAAAGTTCTGGTTCTATGACAAAATTCAAGTTTTAAACTTAAAAATAGAATTAATGGACATTCAAAATGTAAAATCCACAGAGGCATAAACCTGTCTGCCTTGTTCACTTCTGCAGCCTCAGCACCCAAGAGGGTAGACCAGTAAATGGACTGGAGGCAAGAAGGTAGAGGGGGGGAGAGAGGGGAAAGAGGGGGATGAATGACGACTCTTTTTCCATCCTTATTATTGTTTTCTTTTGCGCTGGCAGTCATTGTGTGCCATAATTATAGCATATAGGAAGATTGCTGTTTAATCATTTACAGCTATAATGAAGCTCTTTTACTAAAATAGGCCCCCTTTTTTGTTTCTTTTGCTCAAATGCTACAATTTTGTAAAATTGAGAAGTTAGATAAAGTATATAAAACATTTTTTAAAGAACAGTAACATGGATAAACTTATAAAACTCAGTGGCTATGTAGAAAGAACAATTTATTGGAATGAGATTTGGGGCATAACACCAACCACTTAATCCTTAATCAACCTGACATAACAAGAAACAATTAAAAAACCCTTCCAAACAAATACTTTTACTTATGGGTGGTGGAGAGAGAATATAAATAGTTTGGTTAATTTTACCTCTTAGTAATTTTGAATTGTGGCATTTTGGTTGATGTTATGTTGAAGGGGTGTAAAGTCAAGGCACACAGCCCTCATCTGTGCACCAGGTGACATTTCACAGGTAACTGAGGCGTAAAGAATTTAAAAACCTTGTCCCAGTTAGTGACAAAGCTGTGATTTGAAATTCAGTTACATAACTTCCCATTGAAAATTTGTTGCATGATCCTGTTTCAATCATTTGCACTAGCAAGGTTTTCTAAATAAAAACCCAGTAGGGATGCAGCCACGATTGACAATCAAGAGAAAAAAATTTACTTTTCTAAGAATTGATCTCTCTTTGGTAGAGAACATACACCTTAGTCACACGGTTTACATCACTGAGGCCATCTCATCTCGTTTAGCACTTTGAACATCTCAGGAAAAGGTACTGGACGATAAAATGAAAATTATAATTTTGCATGTGCAAACATGCAAGGGAGAGTTAGACTTGTTGTGATACTAGATTGAAATGAAGCTAATGATCAATAGATGCAATTAAAGTGCTTGATACCTAAAGACAGGTTTTCATTCCATTCAACCATCTTTTCTCTTTACTCTTCTCTCCTTTTCCACGTAGGATTCCAGCTTTATTAGGATCCACATGGCCATCAAAACCTTAAACTTCACCATGAAAAGTAAAGACCTGCAGCTTTCGAATGTCTTTCTAAAAGCACTCAACCAGCTGCCTCTGGAATACAACTATGCCCTGTACAGCCAGATATTCGAGAACTTCGGGACTCACTACTTCACCTCCGGCTCCCTGGGTGGCGTGTATGACCTCCTGTACCAGTACAGCCGCGAGGAGCTGAAGAACTCAGGTATGTCTGCTGGGGCCCGGCCCGTCAGCCGCTCAGATGCCTTTTTCTCTCACTGTGTCGCTTTAATTCTTTTCTATTAACTTTATTTAGACCCTGCTTTATTTTTAAAATGATATGAAGAACAACCAAAAAGTACCAAGTCAAGTAAATAAAGCAAAAGTAGAAAATTAGGACCAAAAACAAAGGAAAAATAAAATATGCTTAACATCTCTGATGGGGCATCAGGTTTATCTGTGAATTTCCTGACATTTAGAGACATCATAAGTGACACGGTATCAGTGACTTAAAGAGAGAGATGCGGCCCCTTTGCTCAAGGAAAACATGATTTGTCCTGGAACTAAATTCTAAAGGATCATTGACTTACAGCATCTTTATAGGCAATAATAAGTTTATAGAACAATAATTATAGCTCATTCACTAGCAGTCAGTGATGTTTTCCTGCTTGCATATAAAACAACAACATAAACCTTAGTTTATAAATAAATCTTGCTTTCTTAAGTATTATCTTAAATTGCAAATATTAATTATTATTACAGCTTAAGCACCTCCGAAATAATTTGTTTTCAGACTGCTGTGTGAAATGGCACAGGGTCCTTGTGATGATTCTACCACGTGTTCTTTTGAGAACACAGTTAGGAAACTGAATGGTAACAAGAATTCAACTGACCAACCCAAATAAGTCCTAATTCTTGATCATGTAACTTTATCCAAAAGAAACAAGGGGTTTATTTTAAAAGACAACATCAGAGTTGATGAAGTGTCCATTCCTGTGTTCTTACATCCCATATGGCAAATACTGATGTTGGCTGTGGCTGCCCTGAGTCCTTCCAAACCTTAGTCACCAGAGATCCCTCCTGACCTGCTTCTTAAGAGAGAAGGGATAAATGCCTTTGAGAAGTACTTTCAGTAAAAGGGTCCTAAAATTTTTCACCGGACAGAGTTACTGAAATCGAAAAGATTTATTCTGTGATGCACTTCCCATACCACCTAGCCCTCCTGTTGACGTCAGCTATCCTTTCCCCTCGAGCGATGTTTGCTGGAGGAATTTGATGTCTCCTGCCACTGAGGCCAGCATCAGTGTTAATGCCGAGCAAAAATAGTTGGGGGAAATCTCTGGCCCTTGACTTGGTTTCATCGACCCTTGGGATGAAATTATTCTAGTCACTGCTGCTATGGCTTAGAGAATAATTTTTCACTTGATGAGCTCTACTCACCATGCATTCAGAGCAAAGCCTCTAAAGGCTTAGAGATGAGGTCCATTAAAGAGCCGTGTGAATCTTTAATCAACCCTCCAGCATTTTAATAGCTGAAGCCCCATAACCTAAATGAAGAGTGATGAGCTATCCTTCCCTATTGGAACATTCTCGCCTTCCATCTCTTTCTCTGTGAATGGAGATAGAGACTGACACACCATAAGGGAAAGAAAGGGAGTTTGAGATGTGATAGGAAACTGGAAATACATAATCATACACGCCTGCGTACATACACACAAACACATACACACACACTATACATGGTATTTGTAGTGTGTATGTATATGTATATTCAATATAGTCAATAAAACACATTCTTCTGGTCAGTATTCTTGTGTATAATGCATATTCCTATGTCCAATGAGTCTATGTACTTATTTATTTCTCTGAGTCACAATAACAATATTGGTGCACAATTTTAATTGTGGTTCCATGGAGGCACACCGAGACAGACGGGGGCTTTAAGGAAACGAAACTCTCTAGCAGTGTGCTCACCTGCCTGCCTGCTCTCTTGATGAACCTATATTTGGGCCTCTCCCTTTCTCTCTCTGTTCCTTTTCTGTCTTTAGCCATGACACGGAGCTGGAGCAGAGGCTTAGCTTCTGTTTGCTTTATGCAATAAGAATCATATCCCTTGTCCTTAATTTTAAAAAAACGTGACTGGAATATCTCATAACACTTTGTCTCCATCAAGAAAAATAAAGAAAATTCAGTTGCTTTTTAGTCGCACCCCTTGGTCTATTCCTCTGTCGTTCAGGGTCCCCGAGTCCACTTGAAACCTTGAACCAAAGCTGGCATTTCTTCAGTGTGCGAGGTGAAAGGATGTCAGGCATTCAGGGAAACACTGAACGATTAAAATAGCATAGTATGCAAGATGGTATGATATTTTGTTGAGAAGTCACTTTCTGCTCTTAATTTGAAGAGAAAAATTAATTGCCTCACTATTTATTGGTCTGACATTTTCAACTAGCACTATTGGCCTTCGTCCAGGCAGAGGAGCTGAGGACATTTCCAAAATCCTCACTTCTGTGCCCCAGCAGAAGGACACTTGGGCTTGAGGGACCAAGGGCTACAGCACCAAACTGGTCCTTGGTCCATGTGGGTAGCGGTCAGGCACCAGCTACAGAACCTGCTACAGAAAAGAAAAGGCTGGTACAGAAACTCACTGATGAAGCCTCGATGTTTTAATCACTGCATGCCAATATCATGGCTTGTAAGAGGTCTTCTCCATTCAAACCTTCAAGGATTTTCCTCTAACCCTCAGAAAATGGAATGAACTAAGCTTATGGTTAACTAATTGCATTATCATTAAAAAATTGGACACGTAAAATTTAATTTTAACTTACAAAGAATCAGAACCTAACAAAAGAATAAGAAAAGATGGGAGTTGTGTGCTACAGGGGCATTAAACGCCTCCCATGGCCTAAACATTTGACTGACCCACTTACTTACAGGAGCAATACCATCAGGAGAGGAGTGACTCATATTTATTTAGCTAGATCAATAGCCATCTTTTTCCCTAAAGTTAGAGATACAAGGTAAACATAAGAACTTCAAGCCAAGAATTCTTTACTCCCAACTTCTCATGCATCCCTTCCAATGTGTCAAACTATTGAAAAAACTATTGAGAAAACTGTGACATGGGCACACCCTGTCCCCACCCACTTAGCCTCCTTACTCAGTGGCCTCTGCCTTTAGGTTTCAGTCTCAGCATCACACCAAACAGGGCCGCAAGCTCCAGACACACTCCCTCCTGCCTGTGGCAACCCTAAATGCCAGCGTTTGATCAACTGCTTTGCTTTAAGGTGCTTAGAGATGATATTAACACCTCTAGTTCTCAGGTGCTTGTGTTTTGCAAGGCAGTTTTTAAACATCAAAAACCAAAAACCAAACTGGATCCTAAAATTGGTGTTTTGGGAAGCAGGTCAGGACGCTTGGGAAGCAGTGAACAAAAGGGAAACGCTGAATCTTGTCAAATGGCCCCAAGGGGCAGTGCCACCTCAGCGTACACATACAAAGGCCTGCTTCCCTGCACTGTCCCCAGGCGACCCCTGACATCCAGGCAGATGTCACTGAGAACCATGGCAAGCATTGCGGTGGGAAGGAGGGACTGAGGTGACACAATCTTCAGTAAAAGACGCTTGGAAGTTTGGGAAAGGCAAGGAAAATGGGGACTCGGGGCACTAGAACGGGGTGGCCTCGGCCCCAGGGCGTCGGAGTTTTATGAGCCGTCTAGGCCTGTGAGAGGCACCCTTGGGAAGCAGCACGGGGTTGGGGGGCCAGGACCACACCCCAGCTGAAGGGGCTGGGAATGAGGTGGCACCGCCCTGCCTCAGAGACACCAGGGACACACCCAGCGCAGGCTGCGTTCAGATTAGGGGAGCGACTTTGGAAAGAGGTGGTCCTGGGTCCCAAGTCAGAACTTCTGCAAGGGAACGAGGGTCTGGAGGCAGCGGCGGGGAGAGCAACAGGGAGAGGCCAGCAGGTGCCCAGGGCCGCGCCGCCGATCCTCAGCCCTGTGTGTTTGTGCTCTTATTCCCTAGGTTTAACAGAGAAGGAATCGCAGAATTGTATCCGGATTGAAACAACAAAACGCATTCTTTTTTTTAAGAAAAAAACTGTGGAACACCGGTGCACCACCAACAAGATGTCAGAGAAGTATGAAGGTGACAGTGCTGTCCCCCGCAGCCTACCCGGGGCGCCCTGGGGCTGGCAGTAACGTAGGACCATAGTGCACAGGACTGCGCTCCTTTTAACTTTTCACTGATTTCAGTTACCTGCCTCGTAGCCCTGCATGCGGTCGGGAGAGAGCGCAGATAAAATAACTGCTGAAAAGGGGGCGATGGTTAAGGTTTTCTTTATCTTATACTTAAGCTGTTTGATTGACACGGGTTGACTCTTGCCATGGGCTGATCCCAATATTAAGCACTGCGATGTAACGATGGGTGTGAATGAGGCCTTCCTATCAAGGACTTTGCGAAGTAATGATGTGTCTAACCAACCATTAAAAATACAGAGTGTATGCCACGGCCACATGCTCAGTGGATGAGCATCAACCTAGGACCCAGGAGGCCTGGGTTCGATAACCAGTCAGGGCACATGCCTGGGTTGCAGGCTCCATCTCCGTGCAGGAGGCAGCCAATCAATGACTCTCTCTCACCACTGATGTTTCTCTCTCTCCCTCCCTCTCCCTCCCTCTCTCTGAAATCAATAAAGATATATTTTTAAAAAAAATACAGAGGGATATGCCACGTCCAGGTGGCTCAGTTGGTTAGGGCATCATCCTGTACCCCAAAGAGGTTGCAGGTTTGATTCCCATTAGGGTACATTCCTAGGGTTCAAGTTCGATCCCCAGTCAGGGCGTACACAGGAGGCAACCGATCAGTGTTTCCCTCACATCGATGTTTCTCATTTCTCTCCCTCTTTTCCTCTCTCTCTCTCTCCCCTCCCCTCCCCTCTCTCTCAAATCAGTAAAACATATCTTTGGGTGAGGAGCAGTAGTTCTGTTGGCTAGNTTTCCTCTCTCTCTCTCTCCCCTCCCCTCTCTCTAAAATCAGTAAAACATATCTTTGGGTGAGGAGCAGTAGTTCTGTTGGCTAGTCTTCAGGAGGTTCTCCGGGTTCACTGTTCTGTAGTTTAGTTGTCATTTTGATATGGTCATGGAAGGGGGGAGCACAGCACTCACCTCCACTGCCATCTTGACATGAGTGTGAGCTTTTGCTTCTCCCTCTTTCTAGCCTCTGCATCCACTAGGTAATCACTCTACCTCCTTAAATATTTCTCCTACTCATCCCCATCTCTTTACTTCCATGGCACTCCCTCCATGCATCATTTCCAACCTGACCACCACAGAGGCCTCCTAACTGCGCCCTGGCTCCTAGTCTTGCCTCCTTCCAGCCTGTCCACACATGTTCTGAGAGGAACCATCTCCTAGGCAAATCTTATCCTGAAGCACTCACGCCTTAAACATGCCATTTTTCACAGAGCCTGGAAGATAAGTTCCTGCCTCTTTCTCTCTGCCTAGCTGAGCTGCGTAGTCCCCTAACTCAGTCATGCTTCGCCTGGGCCTTGCCACTATAAATAACTCCTTTCTCTGTGTGCAATTCTCCTATCCCCTTACTTCCCCTGAGGGATTGCTACTCATTTTGCTCAGGACAAAGGGAAGCGAAAGTCATAGACATTTCCAAAATGTGAAGCTTATCTTCTCATGGGGAGGCATATAAGGAACAAATAAAAATATAATGATAGTTACTATCATTATAAATAGATAATTGAAAATATCAGAGCATATAGATGGTCTCCATGCAGGTGCCCATGTTAAGCCCGAGCAAAATGAAAAGAACTGGTTTGAAAACTATGCATTTGTATTATTAAAAAATAGGGGGGAAGGGGAGAACAACAGGGAAAACAGACAAATAATCTAGTAAAAGAATGGATATAGATTCTATACCTGCTTTTCATGCGATAGAATAATTTAATAAGAATGTAAATTCAATAAATTAAGAGCTTGGAGACAAAAAGATTAAATGTAAGAATTAACTGAAAAGGGAGATTTCAGAGGTAAAGTACAAAGACAAACAAACATTGAAAAATATCACCACTGTAGTTAGAAATAAATTAGACACTGCAAAGACAAAATATAATTGCAGTACTTCAGGGACCTAATTCCCACATCTTAAATTATATTTGTCATTCCATTTCCATTAGATTTTCAGTCATAATTGCTAAGATCTGAATTTTTTCTCTGCATTTATTATGAATTACATTAAATATTTTCTGCACATGATTAACTTTATTAATTTTATTTTTAGATAATTAAATTTTGTCACTGTCAATCGGTATGTGATATATCGGCAAATACTAATTTCTTTCCTATTTTTATAAGCAAAATAAATGCAAAAATCTCTATCATTTTTCTTTTTATGCCCCTCTGCATTATTTTACATGCCTCGCTTTGAAAAATATCAGACTGTTCTTCATAGAGAGAGTACTTTTCCCGCTGTTCTAGTCATTCTAGACTGTTTTACTCAGGGGCACAGCTAATCCTTCCTAGCACTGAAATATCCACCAAATATTAATTAACTCTCGCCCATGTCACTAGCCTCTTCTTCATTTCATTTTATTTCTTTCTACAATTTTCTGTTGCTTGGTTCCTAATCTTACTAGTTAAAGACACCATTAAGAAAGATTGTTTTGAAAACTTGTATAAAAATCTGTGCTATGGCCTGGCCTGAGTGGCTTGGTTGGCTGAGCATTGCCCCAGGCACCAGGAGGTCAGGGTTCGATTCCCAGGTCAGGGCACATGCCTGGGTTGTGGGCTTGATCCCCAGTAGGGGGCGTGCAGGAGGCAGCCAATTGATGTTTCTCTCTCATGGATGTTTCTATCTCTCTCTTCCTCTCCCTTCCTCTCTCTGAAATAAATTTAAAAATATATATATAAAAAAAAATCAGTGCTATGTATATTAAGTATTATTGCCTGTAAAGAAACATTGTGCCAACTCTTCACTTGAGGTTTAATTTCTTTTTTCCTTTGGTCTGTTGTGCTTTTACTCCTGTGTTTATCCTTAAAAGCACTCTGTCAACTNATTTCTTTTTTCCTTTGGTTTGTTGTGCTTTTACTCCTGTGTTTATCCTTAAAAGCACTCTGTCAACTTTTTCTGTAGTTGGAAGTCTCCAGCATGGCCGTCAGCAGGTTGGATAGCAGAAGTCAGGTGGTCCGTATTACCCTGGGAGCCCAGACATATACTAATACCCATCAAACGTGGGGTTTGGCATCAGAGAGCAGGGAGCAGAGTAGGCAGGATTGGGCTGCATTTGCATCCCAGCCTCCCAGTCCTCCTTAATAACCACGGGTTTGGGGCCACATTACTTCTAGCTTTAATGTCCATATTTACAACAATACCCACTGCTCAGGACTGTTGTGAGAACTGCATAAGATAATGTGTGCCAAGTGCCTGGCATGTACGAGCTGCTTAGTTAACGGAGCTGCCGGCACTGTTATCATTTCTATTATTGAACTCCCCGCGGGGATGAGGCAGGGTGCTCTTGCTTTTCGCTTAGCTTAATGGAGCTACGGGAGGATACCATCTACTTCTGTGCAAACAGGCTTTTCTCTACAGGTGGAATCTGCAATAAAGTTAAACGGGCCATTTTCTTTAAACACCTTGCAGGTTCGATGTTGCAGGGAGCAGAGAAATCCATCTCCCTGGTGCAAGGCGGGAGGAGCGAGGAAGCAGCGGCTTTGGTGTGGGAAAAGGGCACCTCTGGTCCCGGCGAGGGCGTCTTTTCTCAGTGGTTAGAGTCGGTGAAGGATAATCCTGTCGTGATCGACTTCAAGGTAAGACTGAGAAGCATTATGAGTGACAGAGCTGGAGTAGTTGTCTAGCAGCCCAAAGGAATGGTCACACAACTGTTCCATTTTACTCTGAGGCGATAAAGGAAATGCCTGTCTTTAGCGTGCAAGCACAATGGGCCTTTGTTTAAATGTTAAATTACGCATCTGTTGCTTTTGCTAGTCAAGCAAGGGTTCTCTGGGATAGTATTTAGCATCTCCAGCATGCACATCACACAGAGTTTCAGGAAAGGGATTAGTATATAAAACTGCTCGAACTTGCCTTCAGGAGTGTTCATCTTCCCGACATATACAATATATTTGATTTCTGGAATTTTTTGCAAACTCTTTGATGAGCACTCCTAAATCTTCATTTACAGCTCCGTGGGATAAATGGGATTTTAGATCTATTTGGCTCTCTGGTTCTATAAACTTTGATTAAATTTACCGGTCTTATATTTGTTGTAATTACATAAAAAGGAGATTTTTTATTATTCGTGGAATACGTTACCCGCATATCAGTCATAGGCCATTTAGAACCAGTTTTGCCTAAAACGTGAGCATATTTTAAAATGCATGCTAACAAGCTATTCTGCTCATTTCGCTTAAATGAAGACAGGGGAGTTGAATCATCAGGAAAGTAGAAGAGTCCGCAGGCAGCATACAGCACACTCGCCAGGCTGTGGTAGGGAAATGAGACCCAGCTGCCCCCCTAGGCCCCTGTGGGTCATATGCAGGGTTTTAAAATGTTAACAAACTGAGCCCTGGTTTTGTGTTAGCCCCGTTATTTGTTACTGTAAGTCTTCATTCGTCCTACCAGTGAGTTCGTGTCCCACTCTACATTTTCCCCTTTGGTTCCATCAAGAGCCAGTGTTGCCCCTGGAAAAACAGAGGACGCAAAAAGCCTCTCTGCACCCTCTCTGGATCTTTCCACCTGGGTCAGGCTTAGTGAGGTTTCAGCGGAGCGTTTCTGAGCTGCCTGACTCTGGTCACCTACCTCAGTACTTAGCTGCGTGCATTTGATGCTTAATAAACAACACAGTGCAGGTCCAAGTGAGCGACACCGCCCGAGGCTTCCTCCGCATCCTCCGCAGTGGAGGTCCGGGGAGCATAAGCTCCAGACACATCCCACCTGCGAAAGCAAGAGCATCTTGCTGCGGGCTGCTGCGCCCCCCGCAGAAGGGAGGGAAACGGCCCTGTCCTCTCCTTGTCGCCATGGAATACTTTGCCCACATATCAGTCATAGGCCATGTAGAACCAGTTTTGCCTAAAACATGAGCATATTTTAAAATGCGCGCCAACAAACATTTTAAATGGTTCAGTGGAAACACATACTATAACCCACAGTAATCTCCTAGACGTGAGGGATTCCCCGTGCCTTGCCCCTCGGCCCATGATAATTGGGCGGTGATGGCAGCAGTTGCAAGGGGATGTGACTGTGACGGGACCTCCTCTCTGCCACCTCCTCTCAGCTCGCTCCCATCACGGACTTGGTCAGGAACATCTCCTGCGCAGTGACAAGACGGAACAACCTCAGGAAGGCTTTCCAGGAATACGCAGCCACGTTTGACCCTTGCCGGTGTGCTCCGTGTCCCAACAACGGCCGCCCCACACTCTCGGGGACCGAATGTCTGTGCGTGTGCCAGAGCGGCACCTACGGCGACAACTGTGAGAGGCGCGCCCCGGATTACAAATCGAGTGAGTGTGACCTCTTGTGAGGCAGGCGCCATTTCCCCTCCAGAAAGTGTGCCAGGGTGGCCAGTTAAAACACAGACAACTTCCTTGAGCACCTCCCACCCTGTGCAAACCCACAAGGAAGATAAGCCTGTAAAATTAGCCTCTGACTTCAAGCAGCCCTGGGATGAGCCTGTTGTGACCTCCAGATCTGTGGCCTTGGCAAAGTCACCCAGCCTCTCTGTGCCTCCATGTGCTCATCCATTTCATGGGGCTAATGTCAGTATGTACCCGAAGATTAATGTATATGTATATAAAGGGTACGTAGCACAATGCCTGTAATATGAAATAAATACAGCAATAGGAAATGCAATATGTGATAATATTGTCATAAACCTTTTAATATGTTGTGATGTGGAACGAAGATGGCTTTGGAATGGGCATAAAATAAGCCACAACCGAAGTTTTCATGCAGGACTAAGTCATGTTCCTGGTTTCCTGTGATCCTGCTTAGACGGGGGGGTGTCACAAGAGTAAGAAAATATCCCACTGCCTTTACACACAGTCTGATACATGTCCTAGGCAGAAGGAGTTCGTACTTCTCCATGTACATATGCCCATGCGTGTGTGTGGTGCGTTTCAGACAGCCGACGGTGATTCCTGATTGCTGCCATTTCACCCAGGCTGTGGGGACAGGAGAAGGAAACCAGGGCGGGGGGGGTGCCAGGCCCTAATTCCTCCTTATTCTCACAATAACCCTGTGATATTCCACAAAGGATCACCCAGCGGGAAAGCAGGGACACCAAGGCGGCCTGGCTTCAGAGCCCACGTGCTCTCGGTGCGCCGTGACCGTGACCGGTGGGTGGTCTTCCTGCCTTTCAGATGCCGTAGACGGGAACTGGGGCTGCTGGTCTTCCTGGAGCCAGTGCGACGTCACCTACAAGAGATCGAGAACCCGAGTGTGCAACAACCCTGCCCCGCAGCAAGGAGGGAAGCCCTGCCAGGGGGAGAGCCGGCAAGAGGAGCACTGCTCGATTTCAATCATGCAGAGCAAGTAAGGCTGGGAACGGGAGGGGTGGCCAGTTGCCCCGCTGCCACTCCCAGATAAAGGAGAATTCGAACTGTGTACAGCATGTGAGTGGGGCACCGTGTCTGCTGTTACCCTTCGCTCTCTTTTTTATAGCTGCTATATATACACATATATAATGCATGTGTATATCCATACACATGTGAACACGTGAGCGTATACATGTTTATTATGTCACATGCACATATTTATTTCCCCTTTTAGTGGGCAAGTATGCATCAACGATGATGAATATGTGAAAGAAGTAGACCTTCCTGACCTGGAGTCGGACACAGGGTGTCCTCAGCCAGTTCCTCCGGAAAATGGATTTATCCGAGTAAGCATCCTGACTGCCCCTTTAGGATTGGAGGTCAAAAAACAGAACTTGAAAGTATGCTTTTTCAAAATTTAGAGTTATTGTGGTCCTAGGTTAATAATCTGTTGAGTTAAAAAGTGAAAACATGATATTTAGAAACACTTTGCCGCTCTTCCACCCCACGTTCCCTGGAGGTGTCTTTATACCTGACTGTTAGGCCAAAGGATTGTAGGTTCCTTGCGTCACTTGGCACTACTAATTCATGTGCTTACAGTACATTTATGTGACTGGAGAGTGGAACTTGAGCATAATGGAGGTTTGGATGATTGGTAAGAATCTGCAGCTAAGGTCTGACTCTTAAATTATGATTTGTGAGATGGAGATCTGGTAGTGGAGATGCCACTCAGGTGTTGGGGTGGGGCTGATGAAAGCAATAAACACTATGAAATAGAGCTTTGTGCACGTTTCCCCCAGAACTGAAAGGTCGGTGCTCCTCTTGGGGCTTGGGAAATGCAGGGCATTTTCGGAGGACTTTCTAGTTGAGTTGAGTCTTGAGAGAAGGGAAGAGGCAAAGTGTTGGGCATAGAGAGGAAACAGCCAGGTAGCCATGTAAAGACATAGAGACATGAAAGACAATAAATGTTATATTCAAAGAATGGCAGGTGGTTTGTTTTGCTAGAGCTCAGGTTTTATGGGAAGAATTGACAAGAGGTGAGAAAGTAAAGTGGGTTAAAGCTAATATTTCAAACCAAGTAAGACTGACTTTATGTTGAAAGTTTTAGTGTAACCTCCTCTCTCTCTCTCTCTCTCTCACACACACACACACACAAAATTGTAGTTGAATTTTAATTACCCATAGTTGGGAAACTGTATAACAACCAATGGCTTACTAGGAATTAACACTTTTAAATGATTTATAGTCAATTAGTCATCATAGCAACTGCATGTGTTTGCATACATAGGATACATTATATATCCACTTTATAGCCACCTAAGGATAAGCATATAGTTTTTTTATTATTCCTGAAATATTAGACCGTCCCATATACAGGGGAGCAAGTTTGTAAGTCAAAAAAGAATCCTAATCAATTTAGAACAACAATATGGAAGACGGATTAGAAAAGAGACCAGTTAGAAAGTTTTCCTTGTAAGAGATAACAAATGCTGTAAACAAAGGCTGTGCTGATGGCAAAGGAAAGGGGGGAACTTGGAGAGATATTTAAAAGTCACAATTGAGGGGACCCTGTGATGGAGTTGATACAGGAGAGAAGGAATAGACAGAACCCAGGATGGCCCGGGGGTGCTCAGGAATATTATTCATAGCACTAATAGTTTGCTGGTTTCCGTTTTAATTCCAGAATGAAAAGAAACTGTACTCAGTTGGGGAAGATGCTGAAATCGCATGCTATACCGGATTCAGGCTGGTCGGGTACCAGTACTTCAGTTGTTTGCCAGACAGGACCTGGAAGCAGTTAGACGTGGAATGCCAACGTGAGAACGAATGGGCCCAGAATAAATTAAGCCAAGTCATGCCCGCAGACCAGTACAGTTTACTACCATTTAATAACTCTGATGAAAAGGTTTAGTGAAGCAGAAAACAGGACTCATCTGCTAAAATTAGATTTCAAAGTATCTTCCCATTTCAGTTCTGCCCCTGCACATTGGCCTCACACACACTGGATGGCGAAACGTGCTTAAAAAGAAATCCGGGCAGTCTGCGCAGTGTATCTAACCACAGGCATCTGCTTGCCTGATGTGTACACACTGATGCGAACTGATGATTCCCAGGAGGACACTCAGACCCTTTCCATGTGGAAAGTGGGAAATGCAGTGTTCTCCCTGGAACACACCTCCTTTCCTGGGGAGGCGACGGGGAGCTTGTAGGCTCCAGCACATCTGTGCTACAGTAAAGTCAAAATGAAAGTAAGACAAGCTCACATGGGGACTCCAAAGAGCTATTATGGGACCCCGTGGGGCACAACTGAGGCCAGCGTCAGTTGGAATGCCCTGTCTTTATCACTCATAATGTGGTGACTTGCTTTTGGGCAAACAAGTAGAAGGAGGAAAAGCAGGTCCCAATAACGTAATGAAAGTTGGAAGCATCTGCAGCCAGTTCCTTAGAAAGGGACCCTCAGATAATGGAGCTAAAGGGAGGCTCTCAGGGGAAGCCCAGGATCCTCAATCTCAGGTTCTCTGATGAAAAGGCGGCATTAAAGCAAGCAGAGCGAATGGAATGAATCACATTAAAATTGTCTCTTGGGTTGTATAAAATCTGCCTATGCCTGGTGGGTATTCCCGCTCCACTAACGCATCTGCAATGTCCTTCTGCCTGCAGGGGCACAGTGCCTCAAGCCAGTTGTACAAGAAGTGCTGACGCTCTCACCATTTCAGATATCGTATAAAATTGGAAAATCCATTGAGCTCACCTGTCCCAGAGGCTTTGTCGTTTCTGGGCCATCAAGGTACACGTGCACTGAGAATTCCTGGACACCGCCCATTTCAAATTCACTCACCTGCGAAAATGGTGAGTAGCAGCTCAGGACTCTGTGGTCTGCTAAGGGGAGGAGGCTCCCAAAATTGGTAGCACAGCATCTCCCATGCTGCTGTTTCTTGAGTGTGTGCCGGGGGGACAAAGCAGGTTGCGTCGATGGCGAGGTTGTGGTCATCTTGCGCAGACTGGGAGGCCAGGCAGAAACGAGAAGGTTCTGGTTGGGTGGATACCTTCAAGTTTGAGAGACTGCGGTCTTTTTTCTTTTTCAATATACTTCAATATTTTGAGGGAGTGCAAGCTCAGTATCTAATAAAATCAGAATTGATGGTTAACTGAAAATTTGGTTAAAGTGGAGGGTTATAAAAAAGCAGCACACTATTTTTTAATTATTTAAACATTTTAACTTGAAACATAAATATACACATTTCTTCACCAATTTTCTCATGGAGGACCTAACTTTTATTTCTAATGAGCTTCTTAAGTTGAGTTTGAAGACTTCTTCCTCATATTAAACAAATACATAATTCACCCCATACCGTGCTACTATGAAACAATGGTTCTTAACTCCAGGTGGGGCACTTCTTTTAAAAACACCCCCACCGAAGTCCCACTCGCTGATTCTGAGGTCATTGAGCTAAGGAGGGCCCAGTATTTAGTCTTTGTTTAATCTGTTCTGCCTAACGCAGATGTGTGTAGAGTTGACAACCACTGTTTTGAAGAGAGGTGAGAACTTAAAAGGCATTTTTAAAGCAAATTGACAAGAAAATGCTTTAGAATTTTTATATATTTTTGTGACTCTTTCACAGTACTCTCACAATTAACTCAAAACAAAAATTTGCAAATTACTTTTAATAGTTCAAAAATTTCAACTTAGTTTTTATGAAAATCACTCCCTTTTTTCTCCTTAAATCATCAGTTGATATATTTAATCAACTTACACATTTACAATAACAACTGCATAAATAGATTTGGAACAAACCAAGCTGACTCTTGGTAAACCTATAGTTCGACCAGCAGAAGCAACAGTGTGAAGCTGTAGAGAGAGAAACCATAAATCTTGAAGTTCAGTGTCAGACGGGCATCTGGGAATAGAGGGACCCAAGAACAGTGTGGCGAGTCAGTTGCTTAGGTGGAGGACAGTTAACAAGCTTCTACCAATTCATGTCTCCTAAATTTATCAACATGCTTGTTCAAATAATGTCTTGTTTTTAAGGCCCATTTCTACCACTCTAAAGGTTCTCTGGATGAGCCTTAATATAAGCAAAGATGGCCAAGATTCTCCCTTCCTTAGAATATACCAAAGTGCTCTACTCTCTCACATGTATACTGTTCAATTGCTTATCTTAGCTCAAGTGTCATTTCCTTAAGGCTCTTTCCTTCCATTTCTCATTGGGGTCTTTTTTAATGTGATCTCCCAGAACCACATTCCCTTCCTTCAAAACATCTATCTCGCCCTTTAAGTGAAAACCCATTACTGCCAGGCCGGGCGTGGCTCAGCGGTTGAGAGTCAACCTAGGATCCAGGCGATCGGGGTTTGATTTCTGGTCAGGGCATGTGCCCGGTTGCAGGCTTGATCAATGACTCTCTCATCATTGATGTTTCTATCTCTCTCTCTCCCTCTCCTTTCCTCTCTCTGAAATCAATAAAAATAAAAAATAAAATAAAAATTTAAAAAAAGCCCGGCCGGGCGTGGCTCAGAGGTTGAGCATCAACCTAGGATCCAGGCTATCAGGGTTCAATTCCCGGTCAGGGCACATGCCCGGGTTGCGGGCTTGATCCCCAGTCGGGGGCATGCAGGAGGCAGCCGATCAATGACTCTCATCATTGATGTTTCTCTCTCTCCCTCTCCTTTCCTCTCTCTGAAATCAATAAAGATATATTTAAAAAAAAAAAAATCTTATTAAAAAAAAAAAAAGTGAAAACCCATTACTGTGGTTATGATCAATGTCTGTTTTCCCACTACTCTTTAGATTCATGGAGAGATGGACCATTTCTGTGTTTATTCTTTCTTTCTGCCCCCCCATCATAATATCCTAGTGCCTCGAATATCATACAGGTATAAAATAGCTGCATTTAGGTGTTGCATTTCTTCATTGACTCTTCTTGTAAGACAAACAGACTTTCAAGCCATTACTCTCCAACATCCACTTGCAGGATTGTCATCACTGTTATCTGGATTGCTAAATGGAATGGACAGAACTTCGGTCTTCATAATGGACAATATTTTGGTCTTCATCTCCCTTGACCTCTCAGCAACATTCCGTGATGTTGACTGTCTGCATATATGTTCCTTCCATGGTTTCCAAGATAGGACACCGCCTTCTTTAGATTCTCCCTCTCTGACTATTGCCTTGTATTTTTGGCAGGAACCTTGAGGAACTTCAGCATCTAATGTTGGGGCTCCTCAAGGCTCTGATCTGTCTCCTCACCTATGCTACACTCTCCTACTGGGAATCTCACCCATACCCATAGCTTTGATTATCCCACATATACTAATAACAAATTTAAATCCTTAGCACAGACTTCTCCCCTGTGGTTTAGACCTGAATATTCAAATTTCTGTATATCTATTTTGTTTAGATGTGTTAAAGATACTTTAATATATACAGAGAAGAACTCTTGAGTGACTGCTCTCCCCTCCCTAAAACTAGCATCTAATATTTTCTATTTCAGTTAAGGCACCAATGTCTATTCTCTTATTCAAATCAGAAACCTCAGAATCATGCTTCACAGCTTTCATATCTAACCCACAAAATGTGACATCATCTCTTTTATCTACTGACTATGTCTCAAGTGTATTCACTTCTCTCCATTTCCACCTTGGGGACTTTGATCAAAATTGCCATCTCCTTTTACCTGAACTGCTGGAATAGCCTTATAGATTGTCTACCCATAGCTCTCTTGACCACCATGCCTCTCCACTCTCCACTCAGAAGCCAGAATTAATTTCTTTTTCAAAATCCAGACCTGATTTTGTCACACCACCTGCTGCTTAAAACCCATCAAAGACTTTTCACTGGTTTTCAAGTAAGGACAAAAGTCCTTCTAAAGCCCTGTAAGACCCTGTACAAGGTCATCCCTTGTTCCATGCTCTTGTCTTATGCACTTCAAGTGCCCTGGTCTTCAGTTCCAGGAAAGTCACACGCTGCCTCTCTTTTTAGCACTTTCATGTGGATATTTCCTTTGCTTTGAATGCTTCCCCTCTTCTCTTCTCATTTTGCCATTGCTAGCTACTTCAATTTTCTTGATTATATGCTTTCTCTTTAATAGCACTAAGAAGGACAGCAATTCTATTTGTAATAGTGTGTTTTTTATTAATGTCTGTCTGTCTGCCTCCATAAGACTATGATCTCTGTGAGCCTAGGATTGGGGTCAGATTTTGCTCAATGCACTACCCCCAAAACCTAACGGGGTGCTGGGAATGCCATAGTCACTCAAAAAGTATTTGAAAAGAAATGAACAGAAATTTCACCAATTCCATATTCTTTAGTTATCTGAACCTAATAGCCACTTTAGGTTGGAGAATGACAGCTCACGAGAGCTAGAAATGACCTTTCAGATGGAGTATTTCATGACAGCTTATTTGGAAAAGCCAAAACGAATGCTTTCACTGCAAGAGATAAATGAGGCCCTTCCACCCTTGCCTTCACTCCTAAATTCAGGTTTTCACTTGGAATCTATACCGTGCACTGTTCTTCACTCCTTTTTCTTCTCTTTCAGATATTCTGGGCAAATTAAAGGGCCGTTGTCCACTAGGACAAAAGGAATCAGGATCTGAATGCATATGTATGTCTCCAGAAGACTGTAGGTATGAGGTGCTCTGTGGACTGTGTTTGGACATTGGGAGGCCAGCCCAGTGTAGGCAGCTTGATGGAGGGGCCGAGCTTCTTAAAGCACAAGCATGAAACATATTAATTTTTCAAATCAGAGATCCCCTCTGTGCTCAGTTGAATTCCCCCTTCCCTGCTGGTTACAAGCTTTCTCTCAGCCCAGTTCCCTAAGTTTTCATGGCGTTTGTTTATTAAAACAGTCTCATTTTTATTATAAAGACTTATTCCTGTTTATTTTAATACTTCAGACTCAATTACCTCAATGCTTTCCGCTTTCCCAAAGTGTAGGGCAAAGTCATGACTCCAAAAGCTTGGAGTAGAGAAAGCAGTGTGAGCATGGAGTTCACACACACACACACACACACACACACACACACACTTACAAACACATACAAACACACTTACAAACACACACACACCTTTATCAGTCTATTTTTTCATACAGAGGCAGAGAGCATGAAGAACAAAAATCATGTATCTTCATGTGGCTACCATGTATAGTCAGCTATCTCCTCTGTGTTGTTTTAACCGCCTTTTCTTTATGTGAACAAACCCAGGAGTGTCGAGGGCTCTTATTATTGTAGGTCTACTTTCCGCTGAAATTAATCCAAAATAGCATTAGTTTCAGATAAAATTTTGTTTCTCTATCTCACACAATAAATCCAGAGGCAGGCAGTCTAGGGCCAGTGTGGTGACTCGCTTCTTTCAAATAGCACTGAGGCTCCTTCTGCCCTCTGGTCTGCTGTCCTAAAGCTATCTCAGGGGCCAAGATTGCTCTGCTGGAACAGGATGAAAGGAAAGCCAGACATAGACACATTCTCTCTTTCTAGAGAGAGTTCCTGAAAGAGCCGTCGTTTGCTCTCATCTTCTTAATCTTCCCTTATTCCTGTGGCCACATGTCTCTGCAAGGGAGGCTGTGAACACAGTTCTTTGGCTGGATGTGCAGGCATTTTAGAATAAAATTAGATTACTGGGGAGCAGAAAGAAGAAGCCAACAGACTGTGCCCAGTTGTTACACTTTAAACACTGAATAGCTCTCATGCTCTTCTGTGCTGCTGGTGCACAAATGCTTATAGGGACTCACCATTCATTCATTCATTTATCCATTCACTTAAACACTACGGCATCTTTTTCTTTATAATTCACTGACATAATTCAGCCCAAAGGTAACTCTATCGACCCTCCTCAGTGTCCACCACAAGTGGTCCACCACACAGCTTCTTGCTACTGAAATTCCCTCACCCAGCACCTTGCCTGCTGGGTAGTACTTAAAACATTCATACTGCCCACTTAACCCAAGGGAAACTTCTTTCTTTATCTTTGCAGTACCAAACCATGAGCATACAGACTGCCCTGTGGAACTGTCTGAAGTTCAGTTCTTCCCTACCTCTCTAGCCTCTTTCTGTATCCTAGTTTTCTTTCCTATGGCATTGAAAGTGTCTGTGGGAGTGACTGGCCTCACAGCCTAAGTTCCCTGAACTTAGCGAGTGGCCTTTTCTTCTTAGTTATGGGCTCTAGTTCCTGGGAACAGCCTTACATGCTGGTGCACCAATTGTTAACCCTAAAATTGACATCAGGGAAGAGACTCAGATTTGGAGTAACCAAGGATTTCTTGTCCTCTCTGTAAGACAAGGACAACGACCACAAGTTACCTCTTGGTAGCAGAATCCATCCCTATTTAGAGAGATTAAGCAAGTTAACAAAGAACTTAAAAGTGCATGTTCTTAATCATAATACAAACACATTTGCAAAGCTATATATAATGATATACAATTCTAGTGTTGCAATTAATGAGTGTTACTGAGTTCAGAAGCAGTACAGATGGACTACCATGGGCTAGGTCGACTGGGGTTAGTTTCAAAGTGTGGGCAGGAATTGAGCTGGACACTGATAGGCAGAGATGAGAGACAGCACAGTGCTAACTGAGCAGGGCGTGGGATGGCAGCAAAGGGAGAATAATCTTACCCACTTAGGAAATCATCAATACAATTGTCAGGTGATAAAGATGGATTAAGGGGGAAGGGAAAATAATTCTAGAAAGGCAAGTTGACTGGAGTCGAAATAGGGAAGATCTTCATTAACAGAATTTAAGAATTCAGATTTTAATTCAAAGGCAATTGAGAGTAATACCAAGAACTAAGGTGAAATTTTTGAAAGATGAATCCCAGATCATGCAAGGGGGTGGAAAGAAGAGGAATTGGAGAGTGTGGGAAGAACAGGGGAAATATAACTGGGTAGTAAGTTAACATTAAATTGGCTAGGTGCCATTTCTCGTTTTCTGGTCTTCACATATAAATGCTTGCTTTCCTCTCTTGGGCAGCCATTATTCAGAAGATCTCTGTGTGTTTGACTCAGACTCCGACAGTTACTTTACTTCACCAGCTTGTACATTTTTGGCCAAGAAATGTTTAAATAATCAGCAATTCCATTTTCTACATATTGGTTCCTGCCAAGATGGTCTACAATTAGAATGGGGTCTTGAAAGGACAAAGCTTTCATTCAACAGTAGCAAGAAAGAACCCTGTGGCTATGACACCTGCTATGACTGGGAAAAATGTTCAGGTAAGTCCAGGGGTGACCACATACCAGAAATGCTCTCGCCTAAAATTCATCTCAGCTAGTATAGCTTATTTTGCATTCATACACTCTCTCTTAAAATTAACCCTTCCTTAATGAGAAATAATTCTATTTTGTTGTAAAAATATTTGTGAAGTCATTGGGTAGTTTGGGTCATTGACTTTGTTTCAGCTTTCTCATTTACTGCCACCAAGGAGCTCACCACTCTGGGGACAAGTTCGGTAAAATCCAACCCTGAGTGCTGTGGTGAGTCCCGTTGTCTCTCTCTCTCATTGCAGCCTCCACTTCCAGGTGTGTCTGCAGGTTGCCCAGCCAGTGCATCAAGGGCGGAAACCAACTCTACTGCGTCAGGATGGGGTCGTCGACTCTCAGTAAGACAGTGAACGTCTGTGAAGTAGGAACTGTAAGATGTGCCAACAGAAAAGTGGAAATACTGCATCCTGGAAGGTGTTTGGTCTAACACAGTTACTGATGGACAGGTTTACTGTCCAAAAATAATCCCTGCAAAAGGGCATTCTTGTACCAACAGCCTGTCCTACCTTAGCTTCCCCTCCAGGTCCAGCCCATGACACCCTGTAGCATATTCCTAGATAATACCTTCCATATCAATCTAGTAAACTCTTTTGTTCATGTTGCATTAAAATGATGGAACTCCAAAGAACTTTATGAATCCTGTGGTATTAAGCATCCTCACAAGTAGAAATAAGAACAAAACCCAAAATTTTCTTCAATGAGTCAATAAACATAGAAATCCTCAACAACTTGTAAAACACATTCTTGGAACCCAACCTTCATGCATTCATTCAAAAAATAGTTCTGAGTGTCTACCAGGTACCAAGTACTGGTTAAGGTGTTGGCTAGTCAGCAGGGGATAAAAAAGCAAGATCTCCCTCCTTCGTGAAACTCACATCTATGGGGAGGAAGACAGACAGAAAATAAAATAAGTACATGAATTACACAGTACGCTCGATGGTGATAATTGCTATGGAGAGAGTAACGCAGGGAAGACTGAGTCTTATCCTTAAGCCTCACTGTATGCAAGGAAATATTCCACAGTCATAAGCAGCCCAGTAAGGATGATTGGGCTCGAGTAGAAATTGTCTGTTTAGAGTAGTTAATAAATTTTTGGAGTTCCAGTCTCTTAGGAAGAAGAAAAGAGGTTCCCTTTGCCTCAGCTGAAGTGTAGCACAAAGTTTTTTAAGCCAGAGCGTGCACTGGATGGAAAATCATCAAGAATTTTGAAGGGATAATTTTTAAAGAAAATCATATCTTTCGTATGAGGCCATACTTAGTAGACACCCATTCCTTAGTGCGGCTAGGGCACCACATTGAATCGGGGAAGGGAAATGTCTTTGGAAGAGTAGTCCACAAATACTAGTGTGCATCTGCAACACCTCATTAATAGAGGTGCCTGCAACCACCCCCAGTTTCTGGATCTGCAGGTCTGGGGTGGGGCCTGAGAATTTGTATTTCTAAGAACTTTCCAGGTAGTACTGCTGATGAGATCAGGGGTCACATTTTGAGAACATTTAGTTTAGAAATGGGGTCATCAGACAGCTAATTCTGATTTAGTAATGGATCTCAAAACCTTAGCCAGCCAGCCTCCAGGTAGGAGAGCAGAAGGAAGCAGGTTCCCTTCCTCTGAAACTCATGGGGATCCCCACCTAGTGGAAGGGACTAGGAGCCACAGCCACCTGGCAGCACCTTCACTCAACCTTACATGTTAAATGCAGCTCCTCCTCTGTCTCATTAATCACAGGACATTGACAAAATCTAAAACATCTTGCAATATCAAAAGACAATGAGAAAGGGAAAAACCTAGAAACAGAAAACCTATTTCCTGATGTAATGGAGCTGAGTGGGAATTTTTTTCCCCAGGAGTCGGTAACCGGTCTTTGTCCCAGCCGGGCTTCCCCACTCCCTTCTCACTGCAGCAGAGGTGCAGGTCTTCAGCACTCCTAGGACCCCGAGTGGAGGGCGAAGAGGCATTGAATTCTCCCACATCCTCAGGGGGCCACCAACAGTTGCATCAAGAAACTTTGCTCAGGACTGAATTGGCTCTGCCCCACCCAACTCACTGCACCCACACCTTTCCTGGATGGGGGTGGGGGACATGAGGGCCTGGGGCCACATGAATGCAGTGCCCCTAGGGAGCTCCTAGCCCTCCTCTGGGCCCTTTTCCTCCCCTTCCTGAGAATATCCACTGAAGCCAGGCAACCGAAGACCCAAGAGAGTCGTTTGTAGGGTAGGAGGAACTTACAGCAAGGATACACCGGGCTGCGCCCACTGAGAGCAGGGTGCTGGAGGAGGTCCTGGGAGCTGTGGGTCCGCACTGGGGAGTCCTCCCTGACATGCGCACAAGACCACTTCCTGCTCAGGGGATCCTGACAGCAGGATGCTGTCAAGAGCACCCAGCACCCTTGTCATAGTAAGAAGGAAAAATATAGGGGCTGCCCTTTCTCCATCTGAGTCCCAAGGCACAGGGAAGGATTAACTTTCCTGGTTCCACAGGAAAGAGCACAGAGAAGAGGAAAGGCAGGTGCTCTGAGGCCATCCTGAATTTTGGATGTGAACCTGTAGAAAATACCAGAAGGAGACACAGCTACCTCTCTCAGGAAGTTCTGGAGACAGAGAAAACAGGAGAAAAGCAAAACATCACCCCAAGGAAACATAGAGACCATCAGTAACATGGAACCAGATGTAGTAAGAACAAGCCCAGAGGTGACGCCCCATCACTGACTGTTACACCCGCCACTCCTGGCATCTCACCCAGTCCACTTCCTTGCTTCCAACACAGGAGAGCCAGACCCAGCAGACGCAGGGGAGGGCAGTGTCCTGCAATGAGACATGCCCCCCATCACTTCCATGATGCTGGGGTGCTTGGAAATATGCCAGAGCAACCCTCCTCCCTCCCCTAACCCAGTCCTCTGGCCCACAAGCCTAGTTGATGCTGGAGGCGGGGAAGGTGATGAGATGTGAACTGGATATGAGTGTGGAGCCTTAAACTGAACCAACCTCTAAAAACAGAAACTGACCAGGAATTTATTTGAGGCAAGAGAAAAATGGAATTGGGTAGAGCTTAGTAAAAGCTGTATCCATTTGCTAGGGCTGCCATAACAACATACCACAAACTAGGTGGCTTCAAACAATGGAAATTTATTGTCTCACGGTTCTGGAGGCCAGAAGTCTGAAGTCAATGTCTCAGCAGGACCATGTTCCCTGACACCTGTAGGACAGAACTCTTCCTTGCTGCTCCTGGAGTTTGGTGTTTGTCAGAAACCCTTGGCACCCCGTGGCTTGTAGGTGCATCCTTTACTCCAGCCTCTGCCCCATCACCACATGGCATCTTCATTGTCTTTCTTCTGTGTGTGTCTTAAGAGCACAGCAGTCATGTTGGATTAGGCCCACTCTAATGACCTCATCTTGTTTAAAATACTTTTTTGTTTTTGTTTTGTTTTGTTTTGTTTTTTTTAATATATCTTTATTGATTTCAGACAGAGGAAGGGAGAGGGAAAGAGAGATAGAAACATCAATGATGAGAGAGTCATTGATCAGCTGCCTCCTGCACACCCCCTGCCGGAGATGGACCCTGAAACCTGGGCATGTGCCCTGACCCAGAATCAAACCATGGTCTCCTGGATCATAGGTCAATGCTCAACCCTTGAGCCACACTGGCCGGGCTGACTCATCTTATTTAGATGACATCAGCAAAGACCCTATTTCTAAATAGGGTCCCATTCACAGGTACCAGGGGTTTGGGCTTTAACATACCCTGTTTTGCAGACACAATTCAATCCTTAGCACTGTGGTTGAAAAAAAGAAAATGTTTTCTGTTTGTATTTCATAATATAATCAAAGGCTTATACTAGCTGTTACGTTCACATTGTTTGATTAAAATTAGTTGCATTGCTTCAAAGTATTTTATTCTTTCGCTCCTAGCAGTCTTCCCTTTTTACCACTTTAGCTACCTTTGTGGCAGGGGGGTTTTCTGAGTGCATTAATTCATTAAAGGTCACTTTGCATCCCGCTTACCAGTTAAATTTATCACACTCTGCTATTAATATTAATATAGCAATTGAGTGCAATAAGAGTTAAAAGCTAGTGATAAAACCATCATCATGAAGCAGAGAGCAAAACTGAAGCATATTAAATACTAGGAATTTGCACCTAGAATCTCAACTGCTGCCCTAGAAGATTAAATAAATTCTAGATCAAAAGTAAAAGCTTTACCTTCTCAGCTGCTAGAGATGAATGAGAAGCTGTCACTCCTGTATCTTAAGTAACAGGAAACTGATTCAGGTCCTTTCTGTAAAGGACATGAATCAACCATTTTGGTTGATTCTGCAAGATACTGACAAAATAAATGAGACCCAGTTTAAAGAACTTAATAAATTGTCATGCTATACATCTCAGACTTCTGGAAGCAGAGCTCTAAGACGATGATTTTAAACTCTGGTCCTCTGGTGAACTGACATTGATGCTTCACTAATGAGTTCCTCTTTGCAGCAGTCTTCAGAAAATATCACTAAATTTTAGACTATTTCACTGTTTTTTCTCTCTCCACAAAAGCCTGCAACTCGCACGACCAAGATTCCTTAGTTTGAAAGACCATGTCTGTTCTGTTACTGGCGGAAGAGCACCCAAGAGCTAAGCTTAATCCACACCCCTTCCTAAATTCCACTTCTGAGTGACACGAGGCTGAGAGGCCATGATGTGTCCGGTTGGTGTGGGACACCAAGTCCCTGCAGCTTGAGTAACTGGGTTCCTAAATGGCTGGCTTTCTCTAAGGTCACCTTCTTTCTTTTGGAACGCATCGTGTGCGGAATCAATGAGGCATCAAGCTTCTCACCAAACAAATGGCCCGCAAAATGATAGTTGTACCTATTTTATGTTGTGGGACTGAGACAGGCCACGGCTACCCTATTTGTCTTCTTGACAAGTTCCAGCTGTACAGCTTCAGTTCCACGTGTCAAATGTCAGTTAGTCGAGGTGAGGTGTGTCACCAACCAAGGGATTCCAAGGGACAGATAGAACCTTGAAAGTCATGCCCACAAAGATTTATATAGAAAGATGTTCATGACAACATTATTTATAACAGCAAAAACGACAGGGCCTAAATGTCCAATAATAAATTATGGCCCCTCCCTATTGGAACAGTACAAGACCACTGACAAGCATCTTTTTAAAAAGATTTTAAAGGACATAATAAAAAGTGAAAAACCAGGCTAGAATACTATCTATGACTATAGCTATGTGAATTGTGTGTATATAATGTCTTTAAAAATTTCATGATTGCTGGGACAACAAATCTCTGGAATTTGGAGTTATTTTAATTTTCTTACTTACATTATCCTTCATTGTCTAGAGTGAAACAGGCACAGGTAACATCTTTTGGAAATTTAAAGAACTGGATTATTAACAAAATCAAGCCTGAATTTTCAAAGATTCGTAGCCGTTGGAGACGCTGAGTAGCTGTTTGACCTTAGAGAAGCGCCTCTGAGCCTCAGCTTCCCCTTGTGAAGACGGGGACCCTGCCAGCCAGCTCACTCGCCCCGTTCTGGGAGCTGGTTGGGGCGTCCGTATGCGGCACCCACTAAAGCCTAAAGTGAACTGTGCGCCCAGCTGTTTGGGTGTTGCTCTCACTGTC